AATTTATCATGAAGAATAACTTTAATTATTACAGTTTTTATAATTTACTAAGAAATTTTATGACTTTTATTAATAGTGAAGTGATTTAATTAGTTTGTAAATATATGAATTTTAAGAAAATTTTTAAAAAATTATTATAATAAATTTTTCAAAAATTAATTTTAAAAATTGAATTATTTAAATAACTTCTTAATAAACTTATATTTCTTCTAATAAAGTTGATATAATATATATTTAACTATATTTTTTATATAATAATTATATTATTAATATTAATATTTTATTTTTTATTAAAAATTAATACTTTTTTATGTTTACAGGCAAATTTGCCTACTCTACAGTTTAAGGAATAACAAAAAAAAATGTAAATAAAATAAAAATAAATAATCATATGCAAAATGTATACGAGATTACATATTTCTGTAATTACAAAACTATGCACTTATATGTAAAAATAACTATGCGTACAATATCTGTGTGATTACAAAAAAATAAAAATAAAAAAAATAATTATGCATAAATTTTTATGAGGTTACATATTCCTGTGATTATATAAAAAATAATATGCGCAAAATATTTGCGAGTTATATGTTCATATGTTTATATTTAAAAAAATAAATATAGTTACATCTATTGAAAAAGAAAATATTGTATGATATTAAGTCATATAAATTAGCAGATTTCAGTTGTTTATGTCTACAAGGATTTCATTTTTGTAAGACAAGGGTAGCATTATCTGTAAATATAAGTTTTTATCACTTCTGGTATTTACAGTTGTTATGTGATTATGTCTGAATATTGTGAACTTGTTGCAAATTGTAAAAGTTCAAAATAATACCTCATGTTAAAATTATTGTATTACTTTAATAATACCACTGTTAAAGAACTTATTCGTAAGGTAATTACAAATGTAATTCATATTGTATTTCATTCTATTTATTATAAAATCTTTTAATAATTTAGCTTAAATTTTAACGGGTATAACATGTTTAAAATGACAGGTGATACTTCTTTTATTCAGGTTATAATCTTTTTTTATTTTATTGCTTGATGAATTATTTTATTAAATTTCTTTATTATATTTAGCATTTTTAATAATATTTTAATTAATAGATTTTGATCATTTGTGTTTACAAAAATTTCACCTCTGCAAGACAAAGGTAGTGATTTATTGATCAATTCTACCAATTAAAAATTTTGTTCCTTATGAATTTAACAGAATTCTTTGTCTGTGAAATTCAAATATCTAAGATAATAATCATAAAAATTTCATAAAAATCGTATAATTCTTGAAAAAAAATTTATGAATAACGTCACCTCTTGAAAAAAATTATCACATCATTTTAAACTAACATCTTCTCTAATCTGCGATGTTAGCATTTGAATTATTTTTATATGCTAAATATCTATTGTGTGATATAAGTCTTTGTTGCAAAAAGTTTCTAAATAGCAGAAGTATGTTACTTTATAAATATTATTTTAACAAAATGTAATTCTTATAATTTTATATTGTATTTTTTGTTTCATATTTCCAAAGTATATACTTTATTAGAAAAACTTTAATAATTTACATCTAGTTTCTTTTGTTATCTTCATTTGATAGTCACTATATTATCAATGTGATCATAACTATTTAAAATACTATTGTTATTAAAATAAATTTTCAATGATTCTTTGAAAATATTTATATAAAATAACCACTTCTTTAAAATATTATCATTTATTTCAACTTTATTGATTATGTGTTATTGTGATTGATAGGTAAACATTATTGAAATTAACATTTGAACTCAAAATTTCAGGATCTTAAATAAAAAATGAATAACTTTTGTCTAACTTAAATTAATAATTCATATATGTACAAAATGGAAAACAAAAAGCTGTAACAACAAATAACAATTTAAATAAATCGTAACACCAACTGTTAAAAAATGAAAGGAGTCATATCACTAATAAAAGTATTTATTTGCATTTCACTTAGAGAAATGCCAAGTTAATTCAAGAGCTATGTCACTGGCTGATCACATACAAAACCTGACTGCATATGTAATTCAAGAATTATGACACATGCAAATTCTAATTACATGATTTAAGTCATAAGTTATGATATGTTCTGCTTAATACCAGCTGACTATATGCAAAATATGACTGTACATGTGATTCAGGAATTGTAATATCAGAGAAACAACTAAACCAGGAGTCATGACACTAACAATTATAAAAAGGAAAAGAGTCATATCACTAACTAAACTCGTTTGCATTTTTATTCAGAAAAATGCCAAGTTAATTCAAAAGTCATAATACACACAAATTTTGATTATAAGATTTTAGTCATGAGCTGTGACACATACAAATCTTAACTATGTAATTTAAATCATAAGTCATAACACGTTCTGCTTATAAAATCATAGCACTAACTGACCACACGTAAAATCTGACTGCATATGTAATTCAAGAGTTATGATATATTGACACATGCAAATACTGATTACATGATTTAAATTATAAGTTGTGATATATTTTGCTCAGCACTGGCTGATTACACACAAAATCTGATTGCATATGTAATTTAAAAATCATGATTCAAGAGAAATAAGCTATTCCAGAAGGCATAACACTAATAGTTATAAAAGGAAAAGAGTCATGTCATGCAATTTCACTTAGAGAAATGCCAAGTTAATTTAGGAGTTATGATACACACAAATCCTGATTATAAGATTTTAGTCATGAATTATAACATGTTCTATATATAAAGTCGTGGCACTCACTGGCTGATTACACATAAAATTTGACTGTACATATAATTCAGAGTTATAATACTAGAGAAATAAGCTAATTCAGAAGTTGTGATATTGACTGTTAAAGCATTTATTTACATTTTCACACAGAGAAATAAGTTAATTTAGGAGCTATATCACCGGCTGATTATGAACAAATTCTGACTGCACATATATTTCAGGAGCTGTGACATATACAAATTCTGACTGCACAATGCAAGTCATGAGTTGTGACACATTTTGCATAACACTGATTGATCACACACAAAATTTGACTGTACATGTAATTTAGGAGTCATGATATCAAAAAATAAGCTAATCTAGAAGATGTAACACTGATTGTTATAAAAAGGAAAAGAGTCATATCACTAATCAAACTTATTTCAAAGAAATACTAAGTTAATTCAAGAGCTATGACATTGGTGCACTATAAACAAATTCTGATTGCACAATGTAATTCAGAAGTTGTGACCATACATAAACTAACTGCACATGTAATTCAGGAGTTATGACACTGACTGACCATACACAAACCTGATGCATATATAATTCAGGAGTCATAATACTGATAATAGTAATTGTTTATTACTTAAACAAGTAAGTTAATCTAGGAAATAAAAAGTATTATGACACTGACTATAACACTCACTGTTTAACTCAAAGTTTTACAAAATCATTAGAGACGTGATACCAATAATCTAAATAAAAAGCCTTGTGATAACGTTCTCAAAAAATCAACACAACTGACCATGCTTTGCTAATTTTAAAATTTGCTAAAGAGTAGTCATGTTGTTGACTGCAATTATAAATAGAATGCTTTTTTGTTTAAAAAATTTTCATCTTGTCTCGTTTGATATAATTACCTACTTCTTTTATATCCTAATCATCCTTCTCATCACATATATATTTTTTTGCCTTTAATAATAAAACTATGACCAAATTATTCACAAAAATAAAAAGAGCTTTACACAGGTTCAAAATATAGTAGACAATAATAATGATTATTCTTATATTTTATTTCGTAAAGGTTCTGCAAAAATATACTTTAATAACGATAACATATCTCATAGCACAAAAAATTTTAGATGAACGAATAAGTAAAGACAAAATATATGAGTTGTTTGGTAATATATTAATAGATCATGCTAACAATGAAGATAACATGTTAATAAATGATGATAACAATGAAAATAATAATAACATCAATTTAATAAAAGCTAATGAGAGTAATGATGCTAATAATGAAAATAATAATAACATCAATTTTATCAAAACTAACAAGAGCAATGATAATAATGCTAACAATGAAAATAATGATAACATTGATTTTATTAAAGCCAATGAGAGCAATGATAATGATACTAATAACGAAAATAATGATAGCATAAAAAGTTTTGAGTTTCCATTTATCCTATAAAAAAATGAGAAGTTTTTAATAACAAATGATTTCCAAATACTGATAGGAAGAGAAATACTCTAAGGTTGTAAATTCTGAGAATAGAATCATTGTGCTAAAGAATAAAAGAAAAAGGTTTATTATTTAGTTTATGAATAAAATAAAAGTATTAGTTAGGAAACCTTGAATGGTAAAATATTTTACCAAAGGATTTAGAAAGAAAAGAAATTTTGGAAATCTTATTTAATAAGAAAGATTTTTGATTATTAATACTATGTGAAGTCAATCTTACTGCGCCACAAAAATTGACGAATGATCAATGTTATTAATATCATTAGCATTTTTAACTTAGTCAACATTTTTATTTAATTTATTTTATTCTTATATTTTATTATTATTATTTATTA